AAATACATATTATTAATAACAGTTATGAGATCATCTAATTGTGAATGTATATATGAAATTGATAAAATTAAAATAATTTAAAAAAAAAAGAAGTGAACTTGGTCCCGTTTAACGACCTTTCTTTGTCACTGTGGCTAAGCGAATCACTGCGGTCGTTAAGCGAGCAACCCGGTCGTTAAGCGAATCCGGCTTCCCCATTGCACTTTGCTTATCGGAAGGTCGCCGAAGGGGATCGCGTGACCCCCTCCCCAACACTGCGACCGTCATACATACGAGTCAGTTTGTCAAAGCGTCTGAATTTTGACCACGTGACTGCGGGCCATAAATCACTTTTTGTCAGGACCTCAAATGGTCACTAAAACAAAGGGGTGTAAGTCGAGGACTCCCAATGTGCAGGATCTGGGGAAGAAATGGCTAACAGAATGCCAGAGCTGGGAGGGACACCTGGAGGTCTTCTAGTCCAACCCCCCCCAAACTCTATAGCATTTCAGGCAAATGAATTGGATTAAAGGGTGCCGCCCCTTTAAGGCCTGGGAAAGATTTTTGGGGAGGGTTGCGGTTCCTTTAAGAGACAGAGAAGGGCGGGGCAGTGACGTCACAAAGCACATGATTTATCGGCTCTCCCAAATCCTCCTCTCTCCCTCCCCCCTCCCAGTGCTTTCATCACATGCCTCTAGCTGGCCTCAGAGAAACAAAGCGTCGTGTCGTTTCACCCCTACCTCCGGTTCTGATTAGACTTACTATAGAGGGTTTTTTTTTGGGAGGGGGGAGGTATTTCAAGACCCTCCAAACCAATCAATTTGCTTTTAATGTATTAATTCCTTCACTTGGGGCCCTTTCGATGACCCACGGTGCCGTTTTCCATGACAGCTTTCGCTTTCTCTCTTTGCGCGTCCCTCTCCTTCCACGCTTTGCTTTCGCACGCGAGCCGGCGGCTGGCGAGCGCCTGCGCAAACCCCGCAGCCCTTTAAAGTCTGTTGCCACCCTCGTGGCACGTGACGGGGGCGGGGCGAGGCTGGTAGGTGGGTGAAGCCGGAAGAGGAAACCCAGTGAATTTCCCACCAGGCGAGATGAGTGGTTTAGGGAAGCTCTTTGGGAAAGGTGAGCCGCCTAATTCCACTTTCCCACCCACTCCCCCCCGACAGAGAGTTGGTATCTCCCGAACCCCATTGGGGATCCCGAGGCTTGGGAGCGACCAAGTGGCGCGAGAGAGGGGGGAGGGGAGGAAAAAGAGAAGGAAAGAAAGGATGAATAGAGGAAAAGAGAGAAAAATAAGGGGGGGGTTGTGATTTACCTCCCCCTAAAAATGGGGTCTTATGTACAAGAAGTGTCGCTTGGAGACCCTGGATGGGTTTTAATTTGCTGCTGCTCCCCAGGGCTCTGTGAAGCGGTGCATTGCAACCCCCCCCCCACAAATACAGGAAAGGACCTGCTCATTATTTGAGGAGGGGGGAGTCTGTGAAAAGGATGGGTGGGTGGGGAAGATTTGCATGCGAGGTTTGATAGCCCCCTTTACAAATTCTGCTTTTCCCCCCCTTTTTTATAGGATTTAAAAAAAATCTGAATTAATTTTATGGGAAGCTTAAGGTTAACAATGCATGCAACCCCCCCCCCCATGCCCCCCAAAATGGTGTATTCCACTAATGCATTGAGTTGGGGCATGCAATCAAGGTGATGGGAGGCACAATTCAATGGGGATGATGATGAGACACCCCCCAATCCGATGGGAATGATGGGACCCCCAACCAATGGGGACGATGGGCTTCCCCAACTCACGGGAACGATGGAGGTCCCAACTCAATAGGGATGATGGGACCCCCAACCTAATGGGGATGATGGGAACCCCTCGCAAGTCAATGGGGGATAATGGGACCCCCAACTCAATGAGTTGATGGGAGCCCCTATCCACTGGGAATAATGGGATCCACAGCCCAACAAGGATTATGTGGGTGCCGACTCAATGGGGATGATGGGAACCCCAACCCAATAGGGATAATGGGACCCCCCAACTCAATGGGTTGATGGGACCCGCAGTCCGTTGGGAATAATGGGACCCCCCAACCCAATGGGGATGATGGGACCCCCAACTCGATGGGATTGATTGGACCCCCAACTCAATGGGTGTGATGTGATCCCCACTCGGTGGAGGATGATGGGACCCCCCCAAACCCAATGGGGATAATGGGACCCTCAACTCAATGGGTTGATGGGATGCCCGATCTGATGGGGATAATGGGATCCCCAACACAATGAGGATTATGGAGGTCCCAACTCAATGGAGATAATGGGACCCCCCAACCCAATGGGGATGATGGGATCCCCATTCAGTAGAGGAGGATAGCAATAGCAATAGCAGTAGACTTATATACCGCTTCATAGGCCTTTCAGGCCTCTCTAAGCGGTTTACAGAGNTTAGGGTTAGGTTAAGGGTTAGGTTAGGGTTAGGGTTAGGGTTAGGGTTAGGTTAAGGGTTAGGTTAGGGTTAGGGTTAGGGTTAGGGTTAGGGTTAGGTTAAGGGTTAGGTTAGGGTTAGGGTTAGGGTTAGGGGTTAATTTTAGGTTTAGCTTTTACAGCGTGCTTCTGTCTCCGCGCTGTTGTCGCGCTGTTGATGACGTCAGCTACGCAGTTTAGTCGAGCGCGCTTTAGTCGAACACGGTTTTGTGGTGGAACCGTAGAAAGCCCATTCCCCTCCGCCTTGACAATCCTTCTCTCCCTCTTCCCCAGTTCTTCTAGGTCTGCCCAAGAAAATGACCCTCAGTGGGGGTGGCTTCCCCCAGCCGTACCAAGCAGCCCAGCTGCACCTGCATTGGGGATCGGGGCACAGCCAGCCTGGCTCTGAACACACAGTGGATGGGCACCGTTACGCGGGTGAGGTAAATCCCGGTCTCTTGTCCAGGGTTCCTGCCAAAGAGCTCAAGCTTCCTTGCTGGCCAGCTGCTCCCTCTTCTAGATCTTGAGAGAGGAAGGGATTCACTGGCCTTGAAGTCAAACCCAGGTATGGAGCTGCCGATGAGTCCTACGGGGTCTTTGGAAAAATGTCATAAGATTATTGGAAGAAGAAAAAAAAACACGTGCACGCTTTGCAAAATGTAATAATATCATTCGAATGGGGCAGTACAGGATTTTCTCCCAGGGCTTTATTGCGGTGGTGTAACACAGGTGCTCTGGGTTATCCTGACAGTCCCATGATGAAGCACAATCTTCTTTTGTGTACAAATGGCAGGAACCCCCTCCCCAAGGGGGGGGGGCTCTGGAGCGTGCTCAGTGCTGTTCTCTGTGTTTGCCTCCAGATTCATGTGGTCCATTATAGCTCCCGATTTGAGAGTCTCCAGGAGGCTGCGAGTGAGCCTGGAGGGCTGGCTGTGCTGGCCGCATTTCTGCAGGTGATTGTGTGGGTGTGTGGGGGTGTCATGTGTGAAAGAAGTGAGGGGTGGGCCAGGCGGGTGCAGTGCTGCAGGAGTGACCCCTTGGAACACTGGCAGCATTTCCACCAGCTGCCCTTCAGAGGGGATCCGAGAAACAGCTATTGTTGTTTTAGAAGATCTTAGTTTTGTTTTGAATGTACAACGGATGATGCTGTTTGTACATAAAGCAGGGGGCACCCAGCCTCCCTCTGGGGTAGCAGGACCCCTGGTCACACAAGGCAGAGAGCCTACAGACCTCCCCCTGCTGTTTTTGTCTCCTTTCAGGTGGGGATGGAAACAAATGAACCATATCAGCACATCCTCAAACAGCTGAGGGATATCAAGGAGGAAGGTAAAAAGGGGCAGGGGGCAGTTGCCCCTCCTTTCTCTGCTTTGGGCCCAGCGGAAAATCCCCCAGCAGGAGACCTGGGTATACTGGAGTCAGGCAGGAGAAAGTCCGCGGTCACCTGCAAGCGATGCTGCCATTTCCACCGGGCGCATCTGCCTCCGGGGTGCCTGGCTGGGGAAGCGAGAACCAGCAGGCTTCTCTGCACTGGTCCTCGGTCACTGCCCCGGCTGCCTTTATAGCAATACCAATAGCAGTTAGACTTATATACCGCTTCATAGGGCTTTCAGCCCTCTCTAAGCAGTTAACAGAGTCAGCATATTGCCCCCAACAACAATCCGGGTCCTCATTTCACCCACCTCGGAAGGATGGAAGGCTGAGTCGACCTTCAGCTGTCAACTGAAGTGGCCTGCAGTGCTGCATTTAACCACTGCGCCACCTCGGCTCTTTTTAATATAGATATATAGATATATAGATATACAGATAGATAGATAGATAGATAGATAGATAGATAGATAGATAGAGAGAGAGAGAGAGAGAGAGAGAGAGAGGGAGAGATAGGTATAGGTAGGTAGATAGATAGATAGATAGATAGATAGATAGATAGATAGATAGATAGATAGATAGATAGATAGATAG